CGAAACCAGTCACGGCACTTTTTTGATATTATTAAATACTTTTTCCCGGAGCACAATAAATGCACGTCTGCATGCGACGACGATGCGATTTCGATTTCGATAAATAATATATATTTAAGCTACAACTAATTCAAAAATTAATAAGTACGGTATATCTGCCTAAAATAATCATAGCCGCTTTAATGAGAAATATCCCGAGACAAAAGACATTCGGAAGTTTAAGAAAATTCACACCGTTTGTCGTTTGTCACACATGCTGGTCAACATGCGTATACAATATAGAACTGCACAGTATGGCTTACGTAAAAATTTCACCTCAACAACAAGCAGTGCTACCATTTTTGCAACCGCAGGGTCAACCACTGCAATGAAAATACCGATTGTATATGAAGAATTTACTTTTGGCGAAAGTCTGGTTTTCAAGAAATCGAGATTTTCATCGGACGTCGCCGAAAACGATCTGGCTGAACTACAAAAAGTACGTGAGTGCCCACATCGAACTCGTCCCGGAGCTTAACAAGGAAACAGACATCGACTACACTACGAGCGCCCTGGAAGAAGTAAATGTTGCGGCAGATCAAATGTCTACTCCTCAAGGATCTACTTCCCATCCAAGGTATATCCAAAATATTTCAATTCCAATCAGCAAATCGAACAGCTCGTGCAAGAAAGAAGGCACACGCGTCGTGAATGGCAAAAAAGCAGATCACCAACTTCAAGGCAATGCCTTAAGGAACCAAGCCGATCACTCGACCAGGCTCTTTTCCTGAAAATCCTGAATCATTCGTTAAAAAGTACAAAGTACCCCCTGTGGAGGGCCCACCCAAATCTTAGCGCCCAAATCATCACCCCGATAAAAACTTGGGGATGCTGGGTTCCCAGCGACGAAGACAGAGCTTAAACATTCGCTACACATCTCCAAGGTGTCGTTCAGCCAAACCCAGCCTCGAATTCATTCCTCCTGCCATTAATTCAGCTAGAAGTTACACCTCTGCCAACTAAACCTTCATTCCGGCCGAAAAAAATCGAAAAAGCCATAGGAGGGCTAAAACCAAAAGAGGCTCCCGGTCTATCCTTGTGACGCAGGACCACGCCTGTTGGTTGCGATTTCAGGAGTCGGTAAGGCATACGCCTGACTTATCCTTTCCTCATTTCCTTCCCTCACCTGCCGTGTTTGGGATTGGCCCCACTCGACTCTGATGCCCTGGGCACGTAGAGAAACCGTCCAGCAACGGATCCTTATCTCCCTTGTCCTGTACGTTTTATGACTACCGGGCGTACGATCTCGAGTTGGCCTATCTTTGTGTCGCAGGACCACGCCTGTTTGTTGCGATTTTAGGAATCGTTAAGGCATACGCCAGACTTATCCTTTCCTACCTGCCGTGTTCGGGACTGGCCCAACTCGATAACACTGCCCTGGGTTTGTAGAGAAACGTCCAGCAATGGATCCTTTCCTAACTTGTTCTTTTCGCTTTTCTTGCGTTTGGCTGTCGGAATCTCCAAAGGCTGCTGCCATGTGCTCCTTTGCTCCTGTGCGGTGTGCACGTTTGTTTACATTTTTATTTTTTTTTATTATTTTTCTTGCATAATAAGCTTGACCACAAATAGCCTACTTACATTTTCTTATATTTATTTATTAAAATATTCTGCTAGTTGACGTCGGCTTTCCTTCGCTTCAGCTTATTGATTCCCATGGAGGGGGGCGAGGGTTACCCTACAGCTCCCTTTACTTTAGTTGCACCCGCGGAGGGGGGCGACGGGTATCCCTACAGCTCCCTTTACTTGGATTATTCCCGTGGAGGGGGGCGAGCGTTGGCCCTAAAGCTCCCTTTCTCACTGTTTTGTTTGTTTTTTATGTTTTATGCCAGATTTAATTAAATAAAATCTTGCATTTAAATATACCCTTGCAGAGGGTATTATAATTTTGGTCAAAAGTGTGCAACGCAGTGAAGGAGACATCTCCGACCCTATAAAGTATATATATTCTTGATCAGGATCACCTCCTGAGTTGATATGAGCATGTCTGTCTGTCCGTCTGTCTGTCTGTCCGTATGTCTGTTTCAACGCAAACTAGTCTCTCAGTTTTAAAGCTATCGACTTGAAACTTTGCACACACCCTTTTTTCCTTTGCACGCAGTATATAAGTCGGAATGACCGGATCGGCCGACTATATTCTATAGCTGCCATATAACTGATTCATCGGAAATTGTATAACTTCGGTGTTTTTAGAGTTAGAGAGTTCAAGTTTTACATGAGTGCTATTTTTGGCAACATAATAATACATGCCAAATTTCGTAAGGATCGGCCGACTATATCCTATAGCTGTCATATAACTGAACGATCGGAAATGACCAAACTTTCGTGTTTTTGAAGATAGAAAGCTGGAACTTGGTACAGATTCTATTTTTGGTCAGTTTATCCGACCTACTGAATTTCATAACGATCGGCCGACTATATCTTATAGCTGTCATATAACTGAACGATCGGAAATGGTTTTTGGTAGAAATACCAACTTTGGTATGTTTGAAGATAGAAGTTTGGGACTTTTTTTTTATTTTTTATTGTAATAAATTTGATTATAAATTCATATTCACATAAGGATCGGCCAACTATATCCGATGTTTGCGATATATATCCGGTTTTAACTGCAAGGGTATATACACTTCGGCTCCGCCCGAAGTTAGCTTTCCTTTCTTGTTATACCCTTGCAGAGGGTATTATAATTTTGTCCAAAAGTGTGCAACGCAGTGAAGGAGACATCTCCGACCCTATAAAGTATATATATTCTTGATCAGGATCACCTCCTGAGTTGATATGAGCATGTCCGTCTGTCCGTCTTTAAAGTCGGTATATTCTTTTTTACTGTTTCCAAAAATGTTTCTAAGCAAACTAGTCTCTCAGTTTTAAAGCTATCGACTTGAAACTTTGCACACACCCTTTTTTCCTTTGCACGCAGTATATAAGTCGGAACGGCCCGGATCAGCCGACTATATCCTATAGCTGCCATATAACTGAACGATCGGAAATGACCCAACTTTCGTGTTTTTGAAGATAGAAAGCTGGAACTTGGTACAGATTATATTTTTGGTCAGCTAATCCGACCTAAAAAAATTCATTAGGATCGGCCGACTATATCCTATAGCTATATCCTATAGCTATATAACTGAACGATCGGAAATCGTTTATTTTATTTTCGTTTATTTTTTTCTTTTATATTCTTTTTTACTGTTTCTAAAAATGTTTGTGTAGAAAATATAATTTTTTGTTCGGAATGTCTTGGAAACTTTTGAGGGTGGGTTTTTTCTCAGCTACTTTTTACTTTTATGAAAATATATTTATACCCTTGCAGAGGGTATTATAATTTTGGTCAAAAGTGTGCAACGCAGTGAAGGAGACATCTCCGACCCTATAAAGTATATATATTCTTGATCAGGATCACCTCCTGAGTTGATATGAGCATGTCCGTCTGTCCGTCTGTCTGTCCGTCTGTCTGTTTCTACGCAAACTAGTCTCTCAGTTTTAAAGCTATCGTCTTGAAACTTTGCACACATCCTTCTTTCTTTCGCACGCAGTATATAAGTCGGAACGGCCCGGATCGGTCGACTATATCCCATAGCTGCCATATAACTGATTGATCGGAAATGGTATAACTTTGGTGTTTTTAAAGTTAGAGAGTTCAAATTTTAGGTGAGAGCTTTTTTTGGCAACATAATACGACATGCCAAATTTCATAAGGATCGGCCGTTTATATCCTATAGCTGCCATATAACTGAACGATCGGAAATGACCCAACTTTCGTGTTTTTGATGATAGAAAGCTGGCACTTGGTACACATTCTATTTTTGGTCAGTTAATCCGATCTACCAAATTTCATAACGATCGGTTGACTATATCTTATAGCTGACATATAACTGTACGATCGGAAATGGTTTTTGGTAGAAATACCAACTTTGGTATTTTTGAAGATAGAAGCTTGAGACTTTTTTAGATTTTGTATTGTAATAAATTGGATTATATATTCATATTCCCGTAAGGATCGGCCAACTTTATCCGATGTTTGAGATATATATCCGGTTTTAGCTGCAAGGGTATATCAACTTCGGCTCCGCCCGAAGTTAGCTTTGCTTTCTTGTTTTTTACTTTAATGAACCACAGTTAATACAAATTTTCGTAAATTTTTATACCCTTGCAAAGGGTATTATAATTTTGGTCAAAAGTGTGCAACGCAGTGAAGGAGACATCTCCGACCCTATAAAGTATATATAGATTCTTGATCAGGATCACCTCCTGAGTTTATATGAGCATATCCGTCTGTCCGTCTGTCTGTCTGTCCGTCTGTCTGTTTCTACGCAAACTAGTCTCTCAGTTTTAAAGCTATCGACTTAAAACTTTGCACACATCCTTCTTTCCTTTGCACGCAGTATATAAGTCGGAACGGCACGGATCAGCCGACTATATCCTATAGCTGCCATATAACTGAACGGTCGGAAATGACCCAACTTTCGTGTTTTTGAAGATAGAAAGTTGGAACTTGGTACAGATTATATTTTTGGTCAGTTAATCCGACCTATCAAATTTCATAACGATCGACTGACTATATCTTATAGCTGCCATATAAATGAACGATCGGAAATGGTTTTTGGTAGAAATACCAACTTTGGTATGTTTGAAGATAGAAGTTTGGGACTTTTTTTTTATTTTTTATTGTAATAAATTTGATTATAAATTCATATTCACATAAGGATCGGCCAACTATATCCGATGTTTGCGATACATATCCGGTTTTAACTGCATGGGTATATAAACTTCGGATCCGCCCGAAGTTAGCTTTCCTTTCTTGTTTATTTATATAACTGTGGACAGCAGTCCACGGGTGATGAAGCAAGCAAGCCTTGCTTATTTCTTATCAGTTTGGGAGAAATTTGCGTAAATGTAAGGGAAGTTTTATTTACTAAATTTTGGAAATTGGGACTTTTTTTTACTTATTTTTAATTACTTACAGCTCTCTATTTCCACGGTGCAATTTTGAGAATCTAAAGGATAATAATGTAAGTCCATCATACATGCAAGGGTAGTTGTGAATCTCATTCCATAAGTTACAGAACCATCGCCACCCAAGCGTACCAACTTGTTTCGTTCAGTAACAACATGTAGAAAGCTATATAAATAAGAAAAGATAGCTATAGTCGAGTTTCTCGAATACACGATACCCGGTATTCACCTCATCTACTCATCTTCATCTTCTTTTATATATTCTTCTTTAACTACGTTTTAAAAGTCATCATTAAAAATTTAAGCAATAAAAAATGTTGTGCTATTAAAAGTTGTTGATTAACGAATATTTAAGAATCTATTAGCAAGGTAGTATAAAAAGTCAAAGCATTTTTAAAATTATCCGAATTGACTGAATTTTGATATGTACATTTTCCAATACTTTAAACGCTTCAACAAAGATTCAGTTAATGGAGTGCCGAAATTTTATACAAAATTGACGCAAAGTTGGCGTGGACACTATAAGATTCTTGGATCCAAATCGGATCGTTAACTTTTGTTGCCTCAGAGATCTACGCATTCATATTTGTTACAAGCCAGTATAGGATCGGTAGTAAATAGGTAGGATTTTTAAACAAACATGACCTGCGTGGATATTATAAAAGTCTATAAGATTCCATGGGCTTAAACGGACTGACGCACAGACAGACATGGCTATAATCACTTGGCTGTTGCTGTTGATCAATCATGTATCTATAGTACTTTATGGGGTCAGATAGGATATAAAGTTACATATGTACATTCAAAAACACCCTTGTTCTCCACGAGTACCGGGTATAAAAATTAGCGGAATCTGATTTTATTTTTACCTGTTTTTGTCATTTGCAAAAAAGGTATCCGGCACCCAAATTTTTTCCGTGAAATCTCCAGATAATGTAAGAACATCACTCAGTCCAGCTTCTTCGTAATCGACACCATTGCTTTGTTCAAAAATGTTAAAGGCCAATCGCTCATCTCGCCAGTACTGATTAAGATACATTGTTATTGTATAATCCTAATGAAAAATAAATCTTTACAAATATTGTGATTTTTTTTAATAAATCATAAATTATAATTACATTAATAATATGTCGGGTCAAGGAGCCGCACGGCGTTTAATGTTTATGTTTAAATAATGTTTAAATAGTGTTTATGTAATGTTTAGTGTAATGATTAGTGTAATGATTAGTGTAATGTTTATTTATTAGGCTTAAGTTTGTACAAAAGCTTTGTTGATCGCAAGCCGACTCTCTCTCGGCCGCTCGACTCAACTATAGAAAGTTTCAACTATAGAATTTTCTATAGAAAGTTTTAGCACGGCAATGTCTAGGTCGGGCCGCCCTTTCCACTTTCGAGAGCTTTAGCTCGAGATGACTTGTCGGGCCGCCCTCTCTCTGTATTACTTGAGTCCCTGCATGCACCATAAGCTGGTCTATCTGCGGATCATCCGACTTCATCTGCATGCAGGAATAAACATTTGTAACGTTCAAAATTAATTAAATTCGTCTTTTTATTTATGGCATTGAAAACGCTCATTGACCAAACATAATATTTTATTATATATATTTTGGTCTTAGGAGTTTGTGTAATAGCTCCTGGGATGCCTAGGTTACCATAAAGCAAACGGGTTGCAGGTTGCGAATAGCGAAAGGTCCTCCCTAGAAGTTCAGCTAAGAATAACGAAAAGGGCCTAAAGCAGGACTATCCTCGAGAGGCCCTTCTTGTGCCAAGGGCCAAAAAAAATAAAAATGGGAGCCAGCCTCCTCCAGCCATTATAGGTAAAAAAGGGTCAACTTTTAAAAAGTTCAAAGCCAGGAGACGTTAAGGATTTTTTTCACAAATCCTTGAAAAAAATATCACACCAAAACCACCAGATTTTTCGCAACCCGTAGAAAGTCTGAACAAACTATGCATCAGTACCGCTCTAATAACTACTCCAAAAGATGCCCTTAACGCCTTACTTACATCTGAGTAACAGGCAAGAAAAACTGATTTTCTGGAATTTTTTTTGGCCAAACAAAAAAGCCTACCGAAAATTTGTAAATGAGGTTTTATTATTTTATATTTGAAGTACAAAATAATTTTTTTTTAAATAAATCGAAAACAAAATCGCGGCTCTGCAGCCTTTATTCATAGGCCCTATTTTGTTGAAGGGGGTCCATTGCCGGACAGTTAACGTGCTTAATTTTTTATCTAAAACAAAAATCAAGAAACTATTCTATACATCAACAGCTATCGACACACGCCTATTTCTAAGCATCGTTGCTCCGTCATCGGGAACCGCTACGTTCCACGTCGATTCCACCTTCCCACGGGTGGCGGTGTTTAACCCTTCGCCAGAACCCGTTACGTTCCACATAGATTCCGTCTTCCCACGGGTAGCGTTGTTTCGCCTTTCGCCGGAACCGGTTACGTTCCACGTAGATTCCGTCTTCCCACGGGTGGCGGTGTTTCGCCCCCCGCCGCCCCTCGCCCCTCGCTCCTCGACCCAAGGTACCTGGCTTTCACATTCCCCCCAACCCAGGTACTGATCCTGGCGACCTTCCACTTGGCCGCCAGGTTGATGACCGGTGCTTGACCCCCTTTTGCCGCTTTCGCACCTCATCGGCCATCCTTTGCCCCGGCTATCTGTCTTAGAATGTGGGGAGACTAACTCTCCTCACAGTGTTCTTGATGATAGAAGTTTGGGACTTTTTTATACCCTTGCAGAGGGTATTATAATTTTGTCCAAAAGTGTGCAACGCAGTGAAGGAGACATCTCCGACCCTATAAAGTATATATATTCTTGATCAGGATCACCTCCTGAGTTGATATGAGCATGTCCGTCTGTCCGTCTGTCCGTCTGTCCGTCTGTCCGTCTGTCTGTCCGTCTGTCTGTCCGTCTGTCTGTCCGTCTGTCTGTCTGTTTCTACGCGAACTAGTCTCTCAGTTTTGAAGCTATCGTCTTGAAACTTTGCACACACCCTTCTTTCCTTTGCACGCAGTATATAAGTCGGAACGGCCCGGATCGGCCGACTATATCCTATAGCTGCCATATAACGGATTGATCGGAAATGGTATAACTTTGGTGTTTTTAGAGTTAGAGAGTTCAAATTTTACAGGAAAGCTATTTTTGGCAAAACATTACGACATGCCAAATTTCATAAGGATCGGCCGACTATATCTTATAGCTGCCATATAACTGAACGATCGAAAATGACCCAACTTTCGTGTTTTTGAAGATAGAAAGCTGAAACTTAATACAGATTATATTTTTGGCCAGTTGATCCATCCTACCGAATTTCAATAGGATCGGCCGACTATATCCTATAGCTGCCATATAACTGAACGATCGGAAATGACCCAACTTTCGTGTTTTTGAAGATAGAAGTTTGGGACATTTTTTTTAGATTTTTTATTTTAGTTAATTGGTTTTATTATGATGTAATCATAAGGATCGGCCAACTATATCCGATGTTTGCGATATATATCCGGTTTTAGCTGCAAGGGTATATCAACTTCGGCTCCGCCCGAAGTTAGCTTTCCTTTCTTGTTTCAATTGAAGGTATCACAAAACACAGGGATGGAAAACTGCAGAATTGAAGCTTCTTAAAAATTATTTCAAAAATGGCTACATAAGTCTACCAATTGTTTTTGCATTGATATGTTTATAAGCAACAATCGCTGACTTTCTTGTTATACCCTTGCAGAGGGTATTATAATTTTGTCCAAAAGTGTGCAACGCAGTGAAGGAGACATCTCCGACCCTATAAAGTATATATATTCTTGATCAGGATCACCTCCTGAGTTGATATGAGCATGTCCGTCTGTCCGTCTGTCCGTCTGTCCGTCTGTCTGTCTGTCCGTCTGTCTGTTTCTACGCAAACTAGTCTCTCAGTTTTAAAGCTATCGTCTTGAAACTTTGCACACACCCTTCTTTCCTTTGCACGCAGTATATAAGTCGGAACGGCCCGGATCGGCCGACTATATCCTATAGCTGCCATATAACTGAACGATCGGAAATGACCCAACTTTCGTGTTTTTGAAGATAGAAAGCTGGAATTTAGTACAGACTCTATTTTTGGTCAGTTGATCCAACCTACCAAATTTCATTAGGATCGGCCGACTATATCCTATAGCTGCCATATAACTGAACGATCGGAAATGGTATTTGGTAGAAATATCAACTTTCGTATTTTTGAAGATAGAAGCTTGGGACTTTTTTTAGATTTTGTATTGTAATAAATTGGAGTATATATTCCTATTCCCATAAGGATCGGCCAACTATATCCGATGTTTGCGATATATATCCGGTTTTAACTGCAAGGGTATATAAACTTCGGCTCCGCCCGAAGTTAGCTTTCCTTTCTTGTTTTAGATTTTTTTTTGTAATGAATTGATTATATTATGATATTCGCATAAGGATCGGCCAACTATATCCGATTTTTGCGACATATATCCGGTTTTAACTGCAAGGGTACATCAACTTTTTAAGGGGAAAAAAATTTTACATATTTTTTTAAGAATCATGTATTTACTACAGGCCTAGCGAATGTTTCTTATTTGTTTTTCTTGCACAATAAGCTTGACCACAAATAGCCTACTTACATTTTCTTATATTTATTAAAAATATTCTGCTAGTTGCCGTCGGCTTTCCTTCGCTTCAGCTTGTTGATTCTCATGGAGGGGGACGAGGGTTACCTACACCTACAGCTCCCTTTACTTTAGTTGCACCCGCGGAGGGGGGCGACGGGTATCCCTACAGCTCCCTTTACTTGAATTATTCCCGTGGAGGGGGGCGAGCGTTGGCCCTAAAGCTCCCTTTCTCACTGTTTTGTTGGTTTTTTATGTTTTATGCCAGATTTAATTGAATAAAATCTTGCATTTAATTTTATTTTATTTTAGGATTTTTCGTTTAATTATTTCTTTTATATTCTTTTTCACTATTTCTAAAAATTTTTGTGTAGAAAATATGTTTTTTTGTTCGGAATGTCTTGGAAGCTTTTGAGGGTGGGTTTTATCTCAGATACTTTTTACTTTTATAAACATTTATTTCTGTACTTTAATGAACCACAGTTAATCAAAATTTTCATAAATTTTTCTATATACTCTAGTTTATTTATCTATATACTCCAAACGAAGCCCTTAACGCCTTACTTAACTTAAGAGTAACAGACAAACAAAAACGGATTTTCTGGAATTTTTTTCGGCCAAACAAAAAAGCCTACCGAAAATTTGTAAATAAGGCTTTATTAAATTATATTTAAGGTACAAAATATTTTTTTTTTTGTAAATCGAAAACAAAATGGCGGCTCTGCAGCCTTTATCAGTAGGCCCTATTTTGTTGAAGGGGATCCGTGGACGGACAGCTAACGTCCTTAATTTTTGATCTAGAACAAAAAATCAAAAAAAATCTTTTTCGAGAAAAACGCGTTTAAAGTTTTTAATACTGTGGGATATACCTGTAAGGCATCGTCGCAGAATGGAAAATTTCGACACTTAGACACTTTTGCCGGACTCTATCTTTTGATATGTTATTTTTAAAACCCTAACAAATTTTTAAGCGAAAAAAAAATATTTCGATTTTTTTAAAACTCTACTCAGATGTCCCCCCTTAACCTACTCGATTCAGAACAAACTGGAATGAAACATGCAAAACGACCCTAAGCGCAGACTTCTGTAGTCCTAGGGAACACACAAAACCCCTTTCAGCACCATCATGCCCAAAAGGGAGGAATGGGACGCCTAAACCCTAGGCGCAGAAAAACGCGATAAGCTCATACAAACTCGATCTATAGAAACTCACAAAAAGTCTCAGCCTAAAGAGATAATCTCTTCACTAAATGCAGAGCCGGATTTAGGTGTGTGTAGCACAAAATTCGATTTTTCGATCGACTTATAATTTTCTTCGAATAAAACTTATTTTAATAGATATGTATTTACTATGCGTTTATTTACTTTTAAATCTATCATTGGTCGTTATTTTTGGTACAAGTATATTCCTAAAAGTATTGCTCCTAGATCGTACAAACTATT